CTTGCTAATAAAATGAGTTGAAATAATATTATGCTATTGTTTTCCTATTTGCCAAACAGTACATATATACTGTGCATACTTTAGCTATCAAGACATTTAATAATTTGGTCATAATTTCATGTATATGAGGTTCTTATCTCAATCTAAAATATGGAATGTAAAGCACTATGGTTTAAACTGATTTAGGAGCAAAAACTATGCTGTAATTATAGGAACTCTACATGTAAGCATTATTATTTGTATCATTCCAATGAAAGTACAGTCATCAATTGCTATATCAGTATAGCAAAAGACATATTTGGTTTACCTACATGTTGTGGGATGTCGCCACAGCAAAAGTGTAATATACTAAATAAATTTGCTAAATCGTTAACAATACTATAGATTGGGAGTTTATTTTGTAAGCACCAAATTGAAATTTTACTACAAACGTAAGTCCTCACAGCAGTTCATTTAGTGACCATTCAAAGTTAGGACAGCACTGAAAATGATGACTTATGGCTGATTTTTCAGAATTACAACCCTGATCAAAATTCAGATGCTTGGCAATTGGTTGATATTTATGACCATTGTTGTGACCGAGGTCATGTGGTCCCCTTTGGAGCCCTTCTAACAAGCAAAGTCAATGAGGAAACCAGATTCACTTCACAATAACTAAGTTAAGATATAATAACTACTGATTCATTTAACTACTGTGGCAAAAGTCGTAACATGGGGCAAAACAAGCTTAATGGAAATTTTGGGTTCAATTGTGATGGTAACTTGATGACTACCTGTATTCTTTCTAGAGCAGGAGTCTCCAACCGTGTCAACTTTAAGCCTGGAGGACTTCAACTACCAGAATTCCCCTATTCTAGAGCAGCGTTTCTTAACCTTGACAACTTTGCTATGCAAAGACTTCAACTCCCAGAATTCCTCACCCAGCCTGAAGTGGGTCCTCGCAACTTAGAAAAACTGCTCAGAAATCAGAAATGATAGCAGTGATTTAAAACAGACAGAAGGAGTAGAAGTATTTAAAACTGACCAAGAAACGACAAAATAAACCCCAAATCAAGTGAATGAAAAAAACATGATTAAATTAAGCCTGGTCACTGGAACCCCGTTTTCGGAGCCCTTTGCGCTCTCTTCAGTGCTCAAGACCACCTAAATCTAAGACATGGCGATTACCCAATGGCAGCTCCAGTCGTGCTTTATCCCCAAATATCGCGGAGCGCGCGCGGGGCGGGGGAGAAAGAAAGGGCAGGAAGCTGTCTCCTGCTCCTCCTCCTCCTCTTCTACGAGCTGTTCTCTCGTCCGTTTTCGAGCAAAGAAGGAAGAGAGGCAGCCAGTATGGTGGCATCGGATTGTCGGGGTCGCTCGGCCGCCTATCTCGGAGGGGCGCTTATCGCCCTCCTTGTGTCGGGCTTAGCTCAGCCCCACGGTAAGCCTTTTCTTCCCCACCACAGTATCTTCTCTTATACCCTGCAAGGGCTACCTCCTTCGCACTTCTACCAGGAGCTTTTGAAGGCGCAGAATTCCTTTGCTTTTGTTTTGCCCGATGAAAAGATGCTCGACTCCAGATCCCTTCGAGAAGAGCTCCTCAGCAAATGGGAATCAAACGACAGTTGGGGAGGAGGGACGGGAGGCCCGGCTTTTAATGAATGGATTCATCATTTTTTGCTTCAAGGGCACCATTGCTTGCAATTTATTATTTCGCTTTCTGGAGACATTAGGAGATGCTTAAAAACAACAATCAAAAGCTAAACATGCACTTAAATCCAATGTGGATAAGACAGCATCACCATCGGATGGATTCGGAACTGACTGGCCAACCACACACAATATGTAGTCCTCAATGGAACTGCATCTGCTAGGAGGGAAGTATGCAGCGGGGTATCCCAAGGCTCTGTTTTAGGCCCAGTACTCTTCAACATCTTCATCAATGATTTGGATGAGGGAATAAATGGGGAACTCATCAAATTTGCAGACAATACCAAGCTGGCAGGAATAGCCAACACTCCAGAAGATAGGTTTAAGATACAGAAGAATTTTGACCGGCTTGAACATGGGGCACTATCTAACAAAATGAAATTCAATGATGAAAAGGCAAGAAAAACCAAATGCACAGCTTGAGTATAGGTGGTACCTTGCTCAATAGTAGTAACAGAGGATTCTTGGAGTCCTAGTGGACAGTTTCCTGATAGAACAATTAATCAGTGGAACAACTTAACTCTAGAAGCTGTGAATACTCTAACACTGGAAGTTTTTAAGAAGATGTTGGATAACCATTTGTCTGAAGTGGTATAGGATTTCCTGCCTAGGCAGGGTGTCGGACAGGGTGTTATCCTATCCTATCATTTACATATGAGCCAGCAGTGTGTAGCAGCTGCCAAAAAAGCCAACACAATTTAGGCTGCATTAACAGGGATAGAATTAAGATCACATGAAGTGTTAATATCACTTTATATTGCCTTTGAAAGGCTACACTTGGAATACTGCATCCACAGTGTAAAAAAATATTGAGACTCTAGAAAGTGCAGAGAAGAGCAACAAAAATGATTAGGGAACTGGAGGGTAAAACATATAAAATAGAGCTCTTAAAATTGGATATGTCTAGTCTGATGAAAAGAAGAAGTAGGGGTGACATGATAGCAGTGTTCTGATATCTCGGGTTTTCACAAAGAAGGTCTCAACCTATTCTCTAAAGCATCTGAGGGCAGGACAAGAAGCAATGGATGGAAACTAATCAAGGACAAAAGCAACGTATAACTGTCAAGCAATTTGTTTGACAGAACAATTAATCAATGGGACAACTTACCTCCAGAAACTGTGAATGCTTCAACACTGGTTTTTAATTAGAGGTTGGACAACCTTTTGTCTGAAACGGCGGTATAGGGTTGCCTGCCTAAGTAGGGGGTTGAACTAGAAGACCTCCAAAGTCCCTTCCAACTCTGTTATTCTATTCTAAAGTAAAAAAAAAAATCCAGACATCCATTTTTCGTTGTGAATATTATCTAATGAAAATCAGATGGGTCGTTCCTATCAACTATTTGCTTGCTTATTTCATTTTCTACTTCTGCTTTCACTCAGCTATCAACTTCCTGATACATAAATCTAAATTACAAATGAGAAAATAATGTTTTTGTGTGTGAACCTTCAATTTAACAAGGAAACATTTGTTTTTCTCCCCCCAAAATCTTAAGTAATCAGGGTTTATCCCTTAATTTTTTATTTTTAAAAATTAAAAAACATTCGTTATTTCTTAATCTTAAAATAAAATTAATTCCATGCATAGAAAAGTATTTTAAGGAGAGGATATGAAGCAGTGATAGACTGGGAAACTGCAGCTTGGACAGAGGCAACCCATCTACAAAAGCACATTAATATATATAAATATATACCTGTTACTGATTTCTAGTATAATTCAAGGCTTTTTTTATTCTTTATATATATTTCTATAAGGTGCTGTTTTTCACTTATGGAACCAACACTTTGGCTTGGTACAGGTAGTCCTCAATTTATGACCTCAGTTGAGCTCAAAATTTCTATTGTTAAGCAAAATATTTGTTTAGTGAGTTTTGTTCCATTTTATGACCTTTCTTTCCCCAGTTGTTAAGTAAATCACTGCATTTGTTAAATTAATAATACAGTTAAGTGAATCTGGTTTTCCAAATTCTTGCATGCCAGAAAGTTGAAAAGTGATCATAAGACTCTGGAACAATGCAAATATCATAAATACGAATCACTTGCCAAGTGTCTGAATTTTGATCATGTGACCATGAGACTGCTACAGTGGTCGCAAGTGTGAAAAATGGTAATAAGTCACTTTTTCTCTGCTGTTGTAACTTTAAATGGTCACTACTATTGTAAGTCAAGGACTACCTGTATTTAGTAACGAAAAATTCAAAGAAGGCAGTTCTTGAAGGCAGTTTTATTATATTGGTTATTTATGTTATTGCTATATAATACAATATTCTGCTATGTTGATAATTTACTTGGTATAAAGAGAACATATAACAACCACATTACATTACTGATTTCCTTTCTGAAATGTTTTTTGAGGCCTCAAAGTACACAAGAAAAAAGAGACAATTTCAGGATTCCTCAAATCTCAATTGCTGGACAAAAATTCTGATTTTTTAATTATATAAATATTAAATCACCTTCATTTTTAATTCTAGATATATCCAGACGGCGTCAGTGGAACTTGAAAATGGATCAAGCTTTATTACGAATTCATAATGAATTGCCCATTGACAACTTGTCCATTTATTGGGTCTCAGATTACTGTTATGAGGTAATGAAAATTTTGACGGGAGGGGAAAGTCCTATAAACAAAATACATAAAATGATTCAAGTTGGATGAAATGCTTCATCTAAATCAAACTGCAATTCGGATTTGATTCATGTTTGGACTGAGTGATAGTTATGGAAGAAAACTGGTCTAATCACAAGCAAATATATACAGCTAGCTCAATTAAGTGCATTTTATTTTAGGTACTAGAACTCTGAATATATAAAATCAAGCCATTTTTAAAATCTTAGAATATAATTGTATAGTTTCAACAGGCAACTATTTCCTTTAGCACAAACCACATTGTTTATTCTAGATCCAGTAACCCTTTTATTTGTTTTTCATTTTAAAGGTAATATTGGTTCATCTACTGCAAGGCAAATCAATTTGTTGTGGTCTTTATTCTTTTTTTCCTCATTTTTTAGTGTTTGCAACAGGAGCTGATTTCTATCCCGATGAACAGAACATCGAAAGAAACTGACTTTGTAGATATTGATACTCAGCATGCTCTCACACTGATGGTCAATAATGTGAAAGAAGGAAAAGAACTGTGCAGGTTAGTCCTTTAAAGATGCATAGTTTCTGCTATGTGGTTATCACTTAAAGAAATCACAGATGTATTGTAAGTAATTTATTTAGATAATTTATCCAAAAAGGGATTGAAATGTCGATTTAGGTATATTATTTAATTTTATACTAAAACATTAACATTATGTAAACAAAATTAAATAGGCAACTGCAGTTGCTGACTATATCCAAACATCTGTGTAAAAACAAAATTATATTAGAAATTGTGAAGTAATAAATGGTAGGATAAACAGTTCAAAGATAGAAATTGCAGCAAATGAAATGAGAAGTATAATATGAGAAAAGTTAGCATATCGAGAATTGTTGAGATTTGCATGCATTCCATAAGCTTACATATCAGTAAGAAAACATCCAAGTATATTCATAGTGCTTAAAGCTCTCTGTTTCTTTAGCACCTGTAAAGTGGTCAGGTATGTTGGAGACTCCTGACTTTGTGAGCAGTAACAGCATTTTATGTGAGACCTCTTTCTTAAGAATTTGGATAACCTAATGTATCAAATATTAACATATCGGGAAAACTGGATGAATTTAAGATTATGTTTAATGGGGTTATTTATATTTAGCTCATTTAAATTTTTAAGGGCCCTACTTCTGTTCATATGTTGTCAGAATTGTTCTAACCTGAACTAACTTCACAAGTATTTTTTCCTCTTTGCTGTCTCTAGGATTCATTATCATTTTGGAGAATATGGAAACTATTCCTTAAGGATTAGGCATCTCCAGAACAACCCCATGTACATTACATGTGATATAGTTATCAGTCAAAGTCCTCTCAACAGCTATCTACGTATGTTACTTTAAACTTTTATAACTTGTATTGTTTGTTAATTGTCTTAATGCTTACCTTAATTCATTTAGAAAACTGACTAGTTGTTGTACAGTCATGTTAGGCTTAACTATTTCTATGCAGGTGTGCTATCCCATCTCAGTTCACCCTATATCCTATAAGACAAGAGGAACCTAAGACTTGCAGAGTAGAAATTTGCCAAGTAACTCTGCAATCACTTCTGAACAGTTCAGCCTGCTTCTTACCATACTTGATTACCGTATTTTAAAATTGGGGATAGAATAAAAACCAATAGGTTGAAATTAAAGAATTTAGCTGAATATTAGGAAGAATTTTATAAGAATTAAGAAGTAAAATAGTCTGCCTAGAACAGTGGTAAATCTATCCTAAGAGCCATGGTAGTGCAGTGGTTAGAACACAATATTGCAGGCTAACTCTGTCCAATGCCAGGTTTTTCATCTTGACTGTTGACTCAGCCTTCCATCCTTCTGAGGTAAATCTGAGGACCCAGATTGCTAGGGCCAATGTGCTGATTCTGTAAACTGCTTAGAGAGTGCTGTAAAGCATATGAACCTGTATAAAAGTCTCTTGCTATTGCTATCCATTCATTAACAGTTTTCAAATGTTAAGAATAATTAGTAGATTAATAGGGGTTGGAATAGAAGACTAATTGTAAGACTCTTCTAATGGTGTGATTATATGAGTGTTGCATTTGCTTCTGTTGAAAAAAATGAAAGTACTATATAAAACAAATCATGACAGAGCTCAATGTATAAAATCCTCAACTTACAACAGTTCAAAATTACACTGCAAAAGTGACTTCTGATCATTTGTCATACTTAAAACTGCTGCAGCATCCCCATGGTTACATGATCCAAATTCAGATGCTTCAGAGGCAACTAACTCATACTTATGATGGTTGTGGTGTCTTGGAGTCATCTGACAAGCAAAGTCAAAGAGGAAGCCAGATTCAATTAAAAACTGTTGTACTAACTTAACAATTGTAGTGAGTCACTTAACAACTGTGGCAACAAAAATTTAAAATGGAGCAAAACTCAGTTAACAAATGTCTATTTAGCAACAGAAATTTTGAGGTCAATTGTCATGTCGAGGACTACCTAAATCAACACCAACTGCTACAGACCTCAGAAAAAGGACAATTACTGCAACCCCATGGCTCTTACTTCCAACCTCTTGAGTCAGTCCCGAAGAATGCCATGATTGATGATATCAAACTCACCGAGAGATCAAAGAAAGCCAGATAGATGGACTACCCATCCCACCCCACCAAAAGCGATCAAAAGATTAGTGCTACCTTTAATCAAAAGGAAAATTGGTTGAAATCGTTCAGTATAGGCTTCTTGAAGAGAGGCAGACAACTACCTCTTTGAAGACAAATGGAGTCACCTTCTTCCTAGTGTGTTCCTGCAAGTGCAGGGTCTGCTTGTTTAGATCATTGAACGGCATGTTGCATCGTCAACTGCGTCTCTAGGGCACAGGCCCATGACTTGCATATCTTTGCTGATGGTGTCTTGCCACCTCTGTTTTGGGTGCCTGCAAGGTTGCTAGCCATTGACTTCTAGTTGGTAGGCAGTCTTGGCAACGGTAGAACGGCTGCTCTCAGGAGATGTCCTTACTAGCGGAGCTGGCCTTCTCTTATCTTCTCTATAATTGGTGCCACACCAAAATATTGTAGAATGATGTCATTTGTGATGTGGTCAAGAAGGGAGATGCCTGATATCCAACAAGATTCGCATTTAAATGGCACCACCTTCTCCCATAAGAAAATATTAATCTTATATAAAACTTAGGTAGCGGAACTCACAAATTCAAACACTATCTACTCATCATAATTAAAAGGTTCAAACTCTTCCCAAATTATCACTCAAGATTATGCCTTAGTGCCATAGGATCTATACCAAAGGTGCTTTTTTTCAAGAGGCAACTGGATTTTCTGCAACTGGGGCGGGGGGGTGTTGTTATTTGAAATTGTTTCGCTTCTCATCCAAGAAGCGTCTTCAGCTCTAACTAGATGATGGGGAATGGAAGGATTCATACTCTTTGTAGACAGTTGTTCATTTGCATTCTTTCAGCGAGTCGCTGAGGCCATCTTGAGGGTTATCTGTGTAATCAGGATCACCTGAGAAGTGCAAATGGGTGTGGCGCCTTCTTGGAACTGTTGAAAGAATTGTGTTGCAGACTGGAGATAGATGATGTCATATCCCTTCCCCTCTGTTGAGAGAGAGCTGTTCGATTTTGATATAGATGGCCTCTTTGACCCTTCTTTCAAACCAGCATTCCTCTCTGTCCAAAATGTGGGCTTTGCTGTCTTCATAAGAGTGTCCTTTGTCTTTTAAATGCAAATGGACTGCTGAATCTAGTCCTGACAGGTTTGTTCTCCCATGTTGTGCTTTGCATTATTCCATTCCCCATCAGCCAGTCAGAACTAAAGGAGCTTCATCTTGTCTTGTGAATAGGCTGGCCCAATCTTCCGTAATGAGCACAAAATATCTGCTGGGGATATTAAGAAAGACTGAGTCTGTGTTCTGTTTTTAATAACATGTGTCTCCATTTCTCCCTTTCGGGAAATATAATCTGCTTCTTTTAATATTCCCCAAAATATTTCATTATTCTAAGAATTGGGGTGGGGGGCTTCCCCCAATAGTAAAGGCTTTTGTTACCTAAGCCACTCGCAAGGCAAACAGCCATGGCTAACACATTCTTTTCAATGTGTATTCCTCATTGTGTACCTGCTTACTCTTTTGTAATCTCCTCTCCAAATAATGTAAATACAAAACATTAATGTAAATATAAACCATCTTGCCAATCATCCCAGTTCTGGTGTGAGCATTCACTCCAGGATAGGAGAATGGGAGAAAGGGCTATACGATTTCTCTTTTTTACCTGGCTTCCTTATAAGTCAAATTCTAGAAAGCTTTCCAGCCATTTGGGTTCACTTGTTTTGGGATCATAATCTTCTGATGCTTAAACAAAAGAAAAGGTTGAAGCAAAATCATAAGAACTGTTGTGATTACATGATTTTTCAATCAGCGGATGCCTCCTTTAATCACAGAGTTGCCAATTCCAATTGTAGTTGCTACATGAGGATTATCTGTAGTTAGCCGAGCATCTCTGGATTTTTATTTCTTTCCCATGTCTAAAAGACTTAATATTCCATGTCTTTGAAACATGCTTATTGTAGGTTGGATGAATGTTCTCAAGGTTTTCATCACCTTTCTCAGTTCAGTCTTTATACTGACTTCTCTCTTATTCCATAATAGAGGAGAATACAGGTAATTAACTTTAGAAAGCTTAAATAATTCAGCCTTTCCTATCATCATTGTTTTTCTCCTAAATAATGTATTCCTTCATGCAAGCTCTAGCCTTAAGAATATTGATGAAGATTTTATTTCTGACTTTAGTATTTTCCTTTCCATCTGTTGTGCAGCAAGAAATGAGGTTAGATTAATAAATAAGTGAACTCAAATTTGTTCAAGAAAATTTAAAAGATATGTTACAGGAGCACACACTATGTTATTAATTTATAGGTACATCTTATATCAATTGCATTTATTGCTTTTTATATTACTTGTATTGCTGCTGCTTCCCCCACTCTCCTCCTCCGTAGTTATTCTTGATGCTCACGATTTCAATAAAACTGTTTCCATTCGTATTGCTGCAATATCTTTAATTTATTTCTGGCTCCTCTCAAAGCACATTAGTAAGAAATATAGTTATGTAGGCTATTTTTAGGGTATTGTATGGAAGTTACATAAGTTTTTAAATTATATTTGAACCTACCTCATTTTACTTACCTAGTGTTTAATCTAAATATTTTAATACGTTGTTACACTTTGCTATCGTGTAATGTCTAATTGTTATTTTTTTCCCTAGCTAATCCTTCTCCAGGAAACTGACATAAAAATGTTTATTACAGTGAAGATCTTTCATAATGCTTCTTGAAAGAATTGAATAATTTAGAAGTTTTAGTATTTCACAAAATGCTTGTCAAAAAGTGAAAAAGAAATCCATTTTATGGTTTACATTAAATATGGAAACACCATGCCTTTTTTATACGTTTACAAAGTTTGGTTTCAACTTTGGAAATAAACTTTCAATTATAAGCCTAATAAGCACAAATGGACCTTTAAAAAAAAAATGAAATAATTTGCTGTAGAATGCATACCTTATTATTTACAGTAATTATGTGTTCTTTTATTGCAGCTATTTTATATGCATTTCTCATCTACATGGGCATTTTCATTATTCTGATGATTGGACAGTTTTTCATAAAGTAAGTAAATATTTTAAAATGAGACTAATTGGATGTATTCATTATTTTCCATATTTGCATTTAAACCTTAATTTAATCATTGAACAATATGGCAATGTATTGAGATTTATCCCAAAAATCCTTCTCAAAATATATGCTTTTGGAGAAGTATTTTTTCATGTTTATTAAGGAAAGGTCCTTCAGTGGGGACTTTCTCCACAAAACTTTATCAGTTGGCTCCCATAATTGCCTTGTTTTGAGAGAAAATTATTTTAACGGCTTTAAAGTGCTTAATTGTGACAATGTTTTTAGGATGATGATTTTAGAAGAACATTTGTGTTATTCAAGACTAAAATCTGATTTTCTAAATTTCTGTTTTATAGCACTGAAATAGTAAGAAAATGGTTCTTCAAAAAGATGGATCCTAGAGAAACTGATCGACTTATTAATTCAGTAAGTGGGATCATATAAATTATTGACTGATAATTGGATTGTTCTCTTTACAAATAAGTTATCTCCGATGACTTCAGTCATGCATGTTGACCATTAAGACTGAGAGCTTTATGATCATGGAATAATTGTGTAAAAACCATCACAGATAACCTTCAAAGCATTTGAAGGTAACCTAACATCACTGCAGCTGAGTTGCTTTTCATATAAATGTTTCAGACATTGAACGACATGCACTCGTTCTTTTATGATTTTTGCTTAAAAAGAAATAAGTCAATCTGAGTTTAGTAAAGCTTGCATAAATGGATATCATTGTTTCAGCCTAAATAGATTGCTCTATTATCACTGATATGATATTAGTACTGACCTTTGTTTAGTTATGCTAGAGAAGAATGCTATACTTATTCTTTGTTTTGCTCTAGAATGAGGCGAAATACAATTAAAAGAGCACCAAATATGTTTATGAATTCCCAATTGGTACAGTGGTGAATGTACCAATTAGCCCGAGCTATTGGGGTCAACATGCTCATTTGGACATTTTAAGAATATAGGGACCATTCTCACCATATAGTTGCTGCGGAGGACATGGCTAAATACTATAATAAAATATCTATATCTGTGATGGCTAATTGTTAAAGCAAAAAGAAAGAACATTGACGAGTCTTATAAAACCAATTAACTTTTTCCCCTAGTCTTTCAAGAGCTGAGCTCTGAACCCCCAATATCAAACTATGTATTTTTTCATAGAAAGCATAGCATAGTATTTTTTTTTATAGTCAATGACCAGCAAAGTAGCTATAACACAAAAACATCACATAAAAGTAGACACATCTACAATAAAAGCAATATAGTAAAACCTGTCAAGCACCAGGGATCTCTTGTGGGCACACAGGGACTTATGACTGATGACTCATTTGACCCCTCCTTCAGGCTCAGGCATGTCATCTCCTACAAAACCACTACCTGCTGATTAAAGTGTACAGATTTGAGAAGTAAACAAAATAAAAGAAGGCAAAACAAAATAGATAAAAATTAAGATAAAACAATACTATAACTTATTTACGACATAATTTCAGGATTATGAACCTTAAGCATTCTTAGGCAACGGTAATGTTCTGCCAAGAGTAAGAGCATAAAAGTGAATCAAAAGGAAAAAGTACTGAACAAACTAGACTGGATAGGTAATTTTCAGATCTGAAAGGTTTCCAGGAAAGCAGACTATAATAATTCAATTGCTTTCCATCTTGCCATCAAGTCATCACGAAAAAGCTTGAGCCAATAAGAGAAACAGCAAATACAAACTGTCATCTCCAATGAGATCATTTCTCTTTCCATGTGAATTAGATTTGGAACATAACATGGAACCTTGAAGAGTACTTACAAAAGTTTAGATTGAATAGCATGCAGAGGTTTTAGATGAATATAGGGGCATATTTCTGTGCATTTGTGATATAGATTCAGCTTTCATTGAAAGAATGATTGAAGGAAAACAATGTTAGAATTATCCAATTCAATACGGAACATGATATGTGAAATATATATATTTCTTCAGGCTGGTACCTCTGGCTTTGTGCTTGTGTGAGCAAAGCGTGATCGGAGCTGCCGTCCTTCTATAAATATTGGTGGGTGGGTGTGGAGTGCTGGCTTTGTTGCTGTAAGCGGGTTGGTTGGCTGTGTAGTTACATCTTGATTAGTTGATGGAGTTGATGTATGTAGATTAGTTGGCTGTTTCATAACATCCTGTGTGCCCATTAGTCTTTTGTGTTGTAACGGCCTGGGTAATGGGTTGTGTGATGACATCCTGAGCTCTATTGTAGTAATATCCTGAGTCCTGTGCTGCAACATCCTGGGAGGTTGGCTGCGTTGTAACATCCTGAGCCTTTGCATTGTAACCTCCTGAGTTCTGTGATGTA